CAATCGATAATCCAAGCAGCTACCTGATTCTACAGAGGTATTATAGAAAGACTTCGGGTGAGCACGAGCTCTTGGGCAGACTGTATATTATCATTCAGATTTTATATATATATATATATACACACACATATCTATAATATTTGCATGTGTGTGTATATATATATAATTGTTATCATTCAGTTGCCGCACAGAACATTTAAAAGGGAACATCCTCTCAAGTCGTTCTGACTCTCACTCATCTCTTTTTTTATAGAAACAAAGAGGTTTGTTAACTGCACTGGAATTGAAATAAATAACAAAAAGTCCATGACATTTTCATTGTCACTTTTTTCTCAAGTAGGAAGTCTTATCTAGAAGGATGGATTTATTTCAGTTTTATTATACATGCAAAGAAGCCTACTTGGCTGCTATTTTAATATATATTTCCAAGCCTGAAGACTCCACAAAAAAAATGAAATGCAAAAAAAACCCTCCCCAAAATAACAAACCAAAAACCTAGCAATGCTTTAAACAAGAGCACAGCAAACACTTCACCGAATCACAGACACCAATTTTTATCTTAACCTTCCAGTCAGGCACCAGCTTGTTAGCAAAGTAAGATCCTAAATAGAGATAATGGACCCCAACCACAAGGTCTGACTTAGAGAAAAGCCATGCTCTGTTTTTAGAGAGTGTCTTTAAATAACTAAATGTTCAGTTATTAGAGAATCAGAAACTGTATGGTCAAAACCGCCCAAACTCTCAGCTGCTTCTGCAGCTCTGGACACATTTCCACACCAGCGGGGAAATGACCTGTCACCACCAGGGAGTCGGTCCCCAGCTCACTTTTTCCCTGTTGCCGATGCACTCCCATGGACGCTCCCCCCTGTGCGTTCAAACAAACAGCGGGTGCAGCGTGACAGCTACAGCGCACTTGCAGCATGCTATGTCATCTTCAGTTCGCTCGCCTGGGCAACAGCTAGAAAAGCACAGAGCATGCACACAGCATTCAAAGGGCGGGCGGAGGGAGCACAGGGAGGCTGTGTGTGACGAGTCCCATATGGGAGTTAAGTATCCCTGCTACTCTGCAGCACTCGGATTAATTAACTGCCTGCACTAACTAACTCTACTTCACATTTTCAGCATCAAACATTGATTTTCTAGTATCCTTTGTCTCCATTTTAGACTACAAGCTCCCAAATGCAATTGCCCAAAACTGTCACATGCGAGGTACAGCTGGGGTACTAGGATAGATATGCTTGTTGGTAAGAAAGAACAAGGCCACTACACACATCAACCTCTAAAAAGAGATTAAAAAACCGAAGTGGTCCTGTCCTGCTGATATCTCAAATCCAATAAGCTGCATTAGATGCAATTGCCCAAAACTGTCACATGCGAGGTACAGCTGGGGTACTAGGATAGATATGCTTGTTGGTAAGAAAGAACAAGGCCACTACACACGTCAACCTCTAAAAAGAGATTAAAAAACCAAAGTGGTCCTGCTGATATCTCAAATCCAATAAGATGCATTAGAAACCAAACTTCAGGGTTGTCACTTTTAAAAACAAACTAAGCACCTCCTGAGCATACTTTGCTAGAACCCACAAGTACCTTAGTGGGGTGGAAAAGGCAAACACCAAAGTAGTACATGAAGAACAGAAATCAGAAATGTTATTTCTTTTCAGCAATAGCCCTTTGCGACTGGGACCAGGAAATGTTTTACTTCCCGAGTTGTTTCCATTAGTTACCAAGCCACAAGAATAGTTAAAAAAAGAAAAACAAAATCTCATTACTAACATAGCGTCAGTATTTTAAGTCGCTTTATTACCAAGAGTATCTTTCCCCCTTTTAGTTTGGTTTTCAGTGTAACCACATGCAGATTCTCATGTGAAAAAAACAGAGCTTGAAACGTTTGTCAGTTCCCACACCACTCAGGTGCTACATTTGAAAACTTATCAGGAACATAAGGTAAACAAGCTAGCATAATCTTTCCAAAATTCTATGTTCACAGAAGTTAAAAAATGCAAAATGAAAAAAAGATGGTATATGCAATCAAGTTGTTAACTGAGCATTACACTATATGCAGGAGGAAAGTACAAGCACAATTACAGTTCTTGTTTCTTTGTTTGAAACCCCTATATTCTTCTACGGGAGAAAGAGCTGGAGAAAAAAATAGTTCTAATAATAATTTTACAGGCATGCAATTCATTTGTTGCACATTGCTTTTGCCCAATTCCTGTGTGATTGTGCTTGCACAAAAATATTTGGTAACATTATGTGAGTAATCTTTCTACATATCCTGCTGTCGCTCCTTACATAGTTCCACTTTGAAAAATCCTCTTTTTCAGCAAAAGTTCAGTCCCTGGAAACACGAAATTTCTGCTCTCTCAAGCAGCCACACTGAAACCACCTTGTGAACCCTTGGCAGGAAGACAGTCAAATTATCAGCTTCTTATCTGAGCCGTTCAAACAGGTCTGGTGCAAGTCAACGTCAGTCAACAAGTAAGACTTGCTATTAAAAATCCCACAGCACATGACTGATAGCGAGAAATTTCCGCGTGTGCAGCCCACATGCCATAAAGCTTTGAGCTTAGTCCGTTTGCATCTGCACTTCAGGTTCCCTAACTGAAAGCAGAAGATAATGATTACTATTGCCAATTACTTGGTAACATCACAGCGGTGCTCCAAGGCTTGCCCAACAGTTGCTCGGTGTTTCTGCCTGTGTGTATACGGTATTCATCAGTGCAGCATGGATCCTTTGAATACGCAGCCAGCTACAAGGGCATTGTATTTCCATTGCTTTCAGCGATACTCTTCAGTGTTATGTACAGGAAATTTTCCTTCTTGAACGTATCAAGATGGAAGCAGCTTCTTTTTGTTTTAAGCAAGGGAAAATTATGAGGAGTTATGAATCTAACGTGAAGGACTTTCATAAGGATCCGGATGTTATTCCAGCTGGGAAGCTGGGTCCACGCAGGAGCTCACCACACACCTGCCCGTCCATCTCCCACAAAGCAAAAGAGCAGCATTTTCAAATCATAGCGCTCGGCTTAGAACATTTAACTAAAAACATAACCCCCCAAAATTTTCTGGTCTCGACTGAAAAGTCACAGGTGCAAAGGTCATCTAGTGTGGGGATCGGTGGCTTTTACTATTATTTACCTGTAGTTATCTTGTAGCTCACAAATCCTGTCGCAGGTTTCATTGGACAAGCCTCTGTGCTAGGGCAGTAAAACAGGTAGCAGTTTGGATGCGCGCTTGTCCTTCGAGTATCAAAAATCATCAAATTGCACTTCTTGTCTCCTGCAAAACATGATATATACATATTTTAGCAATAAGAACTTTTATACATCTTGATAATAAGCTCTGGTCTGTTAAATTAGTTTTTCCTTGTGTGAGTAAGAGGAAAAGTACTAACATATAACATTCCTACAGGAAAAACAACCCAGGACTGTGAAAGAATGGCCCAGGGCCAATATACGAAAGGTCACACCTTCCTCTTCCTGTACAGATGAACTTGGGGAAATAATGAGTCTAATCCCTCATCCTCCCCTCACCCGCACTGGTACCACACTGGCACCACTTCATATAATAATTTCTCGCTTACAAATCCTGATAAATCTGAAAACCTCTTCGATATACTCATGGGGAAGGAAATTATTTATACACTTTTCCCATCACATCCCAGGAATCTCTTGGCTTGTTGCTGCTTTGGGGGGGTTACTTTTGGCACTGTCATTTCTACTTGCTGCTGTATCTCCTGCTGCTCCAAGAGCTCGATGCAAAACAGTCACCTCAGAGAAGGGTAAGCACTCTCATTTTTGGCTAAAATTAAACGTAGCGCAAAATGTCAGTTACTTTGTAGCACGTCTACTAAATACAGCTTACACATCTTGGAGTTTGGGGGTCTGAGAGTTTTTAACATTTAAAATTATCAGTGTTTTTTACTGCAACTATTTTCCTGAATGCTCTGGGGTCTTGCATTAAGATCTAACATCACACTTGGCAAAACAGGATAGCAGCCGCAAGCTGTTACTAGTCGCAGCGTAACGAAAGGATAAATTAACGTTTCTGTGCTGAGTATAGAGAATACCCTTTTCCCAGGCAACTTCAGAAATAATTTCCCAAGCGTTCGTACGCAGGAACAGAAAAGACCGAAGGGGAGCGGGTTACCTGAGAGCTTTTCCCCTGAGCAGCAAGCGCGGACGCAAGCCTCTGGGGTCGGGGCGTACACCGGCTCTGCACCCCTGATGCCTTTGGGCAGGGATAAGTTTATATCGATGATGGTATTTTCCATTTTCTCCGCGGAGCACTCTTGACTCAGGGATGGTCTGGGCACCACGCAGGTGATGACCAGCAGGCAAACCGGCCACCGGCTGCTAGCGGGAGACATGGTCGCTCGGGTGGGGTCTTCGCGGGGCTGGGATGACGCCGGCCTCGGGGCACCCCTTACCGCAGACGTACCGGACCCTCCTCGGCCAGGAACCGGATTTCGCGGCGAGCTTCCCGAAGCGCTG